GGGAGAGGAATGCACTTGGCATGAACAGAAAAGCCTGAAGTGGAGTCAAGCAAATTAGTGGCACGCCTCCGGAAAATTTCCAGCATTGAGATGATTTTGATGAAGCTAACGCCGCATGTGGCGTGCAGCTATTTGAGTCCAAGTCAGCTAAGGACTGTTGAAGTTTTGAGCTAAAGAGCTAGGGACTAGCTTACCACTCTTCAGTGCTTTCTACATAAAAATTTTGCGTGCCTGAAATGCATTATGCTATATGGGGTTTGTGTTTTGTACCAGTAGGGTGCGGGGGGGGGGGGGAGGGTCCGGATCCGGGGAGAGGGGGGGGGGGAGGGACGAGGGTAGAAGTGGGGAAGAGCTTAGACAATCGACCGGACCCCTCCGCCGGACAGTCGGAATCTGCCAAAGTCGCGCCGGAACCAGTTGACCAATGAGAGCGGGGCGATTGGGCGGTCCCTCCTTGTAGGTCGCGGTGACATCACTGGCAGGCAAGTGGGACCCTTCTCCGGCCCTGCTGCAAAGGTACGCCATTTCTGCTCCGGAGGTACGCCAGATTTGGACGAGCCGCGCCGCAGAAAATCGGAGGGGTCCGGAGCACAAATGGAAGGTCTCCGGAGCACAAATGGGAGGGCTCCGGAGCACAAAATGGGAGGGCTCCGGCGGACGAGTGGCAGACCCACCGCTGGGGAAACCCCGCGGCCCTGCCATTTCTCCGCCGGAGGGGTCCTATTCGCTGTCTGAGAGAGGGAAGGAAGGTACTATGATACGGATATAAAAACCCTGGAGTGGATTCAAGCATTTAGTGGCACTTAATCCGAGTTAAGAAGATTGTATTGAAGCTAAGGTAGCATGTGGCGTAGAGCTATTTGAGTTGTTGAAGAGATAGAGAGCTAGGAAGTAACTCACCACTACTCTCTACACGTACCTGAAAGTTTTTATGCTATAGTTTCGGCTACGAAAAGATTTGAGGACAAAACTTCAGAAGTTCTAGCTTTTGAACACTTCTCACTCCGCACGCTCAGCCAGTTCAAAGCGCCGCGAAGCGGCGCTTTGAACTGGTACATGTTAAAACGCGTAAGGTGGAAATCGGGGTCGCCGGCCGTGCGGGCGAAATCGCGTTTTGGGGACCACTTTGAGGGCAAGTTTCTCCACGTTAAAGGGCCCGGATCAAGACGGAGTGCCAAAATTTACTTGCTATTTGTTCGCATCGGACTCTGTCCTCTCCATCGCTAACTTCTTGTATGTTCATAGCACTTTTCCCGCTTTCTGAGTTTTTAAACGCCTATTTCTGAGAAAAACCCCTTTTTATTCCTTTATGTACTCTCTGTGTCATTTTTGAATCAAATTACCTTTCATTTCCCCTGAAAGATCACATTTTTGAGGTGTTGCCCTTGAATGTTTTCAACGCAGGTGCCCACTGATTTTATTAGGTTGGTGCAAAAATAATGTCCGTTTTGCAAAGTTTCGCTTTGAAAAGCTATGACTATGTCCAATCTTCACATTTTTGATTGCAATTAGGACCGTGAAGCAATAAACCTTTTGCAACTTAGCACGCACATGCTTATATTGATTTCTTCTTTGAGGGATTACAACTTCCTTCAACATATGTTTTATGGCTGCTAATCAGCTTATTTTCTAGAAACAAGCCAGTAATATGCTTCTGTATAGAAAAGACTCAAGCGAAGAATTTCTGCGAAAAGAAAATACAAAAATCCAAAATTGTTCACTTTTGAGCCTGCTTGTGGTAAGCCATCAAGTCCCAAACTATGGAAATCTGGAATCTTCATGCTGAATAGCTTAGTTTTTCTGTAAAAGTTGTAGGCAAGATGTCCTTATCACAGCATACAGAAATGAGCGGAGCTCCGGCCGGCTACAGCCTTGATCAGCAAAGAAGGTACTTTTCCGTTAGCCGGAACCATTTTTTTAGAAGGCTCCCATAAACACGCTTTTTAGTCCAAGAACAATTTTGCTTATAGATTCTACGAAGACTGCCAAAGGCGGGGCGCTTTTGGCAGGAAACAATCGACACGTTTTAGTTCATTTTGACTTGTTTTTTTCTTCGAATTCATTTCCGGTGAGGTAAAGGAACATTTGTGAGTACCTGAAAGCCTTTCAGTTATTTTTTTTATAAAATCAAAACTGTCTAGAACTCATCCTAGAACATCTTGATTGCTTGAAATAATTCAAAATTATCTTCCTCTCCATATTCCCGGCCATGCGAATTTAGCCAGGAGAGACTATTGGTGGCCTGCAGTATCTCGCTGCTGCTTAATTAGCCGCTTGGATAACGGAATCCTAGCGATCTAACTAGTCGGAATGCTAACACTACATATTTAGGCTGCATCTGTTTTCTTTTTGTCTTGAGAAATATAAAAGAAGCAGACTCGAAAGTTTAGCGCAAAACATCATGCCATCGACGGTCACGCATTGCTCCTGGCTTTGAGAGAGGAAGAGGGAGGGGGGAGGGAAGGGGGGACTTTCGTCTCAACGCCCTCGGGAAGTTCCTGTAAATTGTGTAACTGGTGGTATTATAATTCTTTTGAGCTAAGCCGGTTCAACCGATATTGCTACGCTTTTCTCTTTTTTCTGTTATTGCTTTCTAGAGCACAGTTTGCTTCCCAAGCCGCAAACTCCGCCTTGCCTGCGGCACATATGCTGTTCCAGTACCCGTATTTACCTAGATATTTGAGAAAAGAAGTCTTACATAGAACTTTTTTTGACTCAAAACATTGATGCGCTGGAGCAGGTGAGTTTTGACTAACTCTCTTGGCTGGGAGCCCATTATGCTGCAAAATTGGTGGAAAGACCGCATTTTAAGGACACAACTTCGAAGATTTTATAATGCTGTTCGTATTTTCACTACAATGAGAGTTCATTTTGTGCGAACGAGAACATCCCAATGTGATTGAACCCTTTGAAATTAAAGACATGGGTTTTTTCGTTTGCTTTTGTGACTGCTGCAACTTCATTCCATAATCTGCAACTTCTAGGCCTTGTTCCCTCTTCAGTTTTCGGCTTTTACTCATGTAAAGGAGAAACAGGAGCTTGCAAACAAGGGGAGTGGGATAATTGCTGCACACTATCACCTCGCGCCACATCTATACTTGTCGGACACAATAACAAATTACTGATATCGCGTTTCGGAACCTATGTATGTAGTGTGCCTGAGGCCCTGGGCATGCGATTTCTGCCGCCACGCATACCTTCGATAGTCAAGAGACAGAGGCTAGAAAGTGATAGTTGTTTGAGTTCTTGCCCCCTATAAAAAGTGAAGGTTGTTCCAGAAAAATAGACGAAAATTTAGAGATATAAATTAATTTAGAAAACTTAGAAAATTCATATAAAGCAGAGGTTAGCACATCACCAAATTTGAAACCTTAACTTGGTGGTCCTACGAGTTTCGTCTCCAGGATTGCTGGTTAAATTGGGTGGCAACAACAACAAAGTTCTTTTTCAGTCAAAAAAAGCGCTGTTGAGCTGTGGCGTTAGTTGAGAGACCGAAAGAAGAAGAACTTGTCAACAACTGAATTGAACATGTTAAACATGTCTGTAAAGTTGTGTTGCACATCGACGCCAATCTGATTTTTGATGCGTCCTTTGAATTTTCACCCCCGCATAGTCGTTTCGTACACTGCGACGTTGTCTGGATTCTTCCGCTCATCATTCTGAGCAAGTATCGTCTAAGCTGGAAAAAATTCGCTGCAAAAGCACAGAAAGAGAACAAGGTAAAGAAAAACGCACTTTTTTGTATTTTTCACAAAAAAAACCGGCATAAGCAAAGAAGTAAGCTCGGCGACGTTGTCTACATCATAGACAGAAACAAGACCTATCGATTACACAAAAAAACCGAGTGAAAAAAGTTAAACTAAGGAAAAAGCAAGAGGTTTTCGAAAACGCCGTTTTTGAGGATTTCTCGTTTAAATCCCAAAAAGAAGTTCCGCGACGTTGTCAGCGTGAAAATAGAGATCAAGAGCTTTAATATGATATATAGATTATCGAAATTCGGCTCCGAACAACGAAGAAAAGGGTACCAGAGCCAAATGCCCCGCGCCCCGCATTTGAGGTAGCGAGGTAGCGCGCAGCGCGCCGAGACGCAGACGAGCAGCGGAGACAGACCAGAGCTGACGGGGCATTTGGCTCTGGTCGTAGATCTTCGCAGGGTCTCAACGAAACCCTGCAACATTATATATCGTTGTGATCCTCATAAGACGGCCAGGAGCACTGACAACGTCGCGGGTCTTGAAAATTACTCCATAACGAAATAGACCAGCATTCATATGGCGACTCTTTGCGCAAGATTTGAGTTTTTATTGAACTCTAGCGGCTTTAATGAACTTCCAACATTCAACCGTAGTTCAGAGAAAGGTTAACTGAGAGATTTTGCTCTAGTTTTTGATTGAATTTTTAAACAAAAACTTTCTTCTCAACAAAAAAGGCCATAAAATCGCAATTCTTCGGTTTTTTTGAGCTTCTTTTGAATGTCACTGCTATATTTGCCTCATTTAAATTCATCCCTATACGGTTTTGTCATTAGTTATGTCATAATTTCCGGGGCTTCGCCCCGGATGACTTCTGTACTTCTCCCCAGGTGAAGGTTGTGTTCTATCATGACGCTCAAAGTGAAGGTTACCAGAGTACATGGCTCTATGTATCGAAGGTATGCCGCCACGCGATTTGGCCATTTACCAGATCTCTTGAAACCCAGCACTGGCAGACCAAAAATGCTTGGTGTATTCAACTTTTGTGAGTCAATAAAATATGCTATTTTCCATGTGCTCAAATTGAGCTTGCGACAGTCCATAAGCATCACATCGCGATTTGGCGATCGCGTGAAGTAAACCCGGGACCTAACAGGTGAATACGTAACATACAATGATAGCTTTTGAAACAGTGAATAGCTATGCTTTTTTTACTCAGGACGCGGTTTAATTTGTTGGAAATTGATGGCAATGAACACTGCCAATGACTATACGAAATAATATGTGGCAGCCACGCCTCCAATTTCTCTTATACCTCACGCCACATAAGGTTGGACAAGGAGTATGGCTAGAATGCTGCGCACCCTAGCAGTGGTAATGTCTAAGTCTTTCTCGCGTTAGTTGATAATAACCACTAGTTTCAGGTAATTGCTGTATTACTAACGCCAACCTTTGGTCAGTGGCTATATGTGCTGTTCTCACGTCAAAGTAGTAACAGTTTCAGGAGCGATATATTGTAAGAACGGCGGTGTTATGGAAGAAACTGAAGTTTTAGAAATTCTTAACGAAGTAAATACAGCTAGACAAAAATTGGCTAACGGACAACAGAAAAACGCGGGTGGTGACCGCTTGCCTCCAGCGTTGTACGGTTTGACAAACCTAGTGAGTGTGTTCAATTAATCTACACAAAATGTTATATAATGACCAATTTCTGTCGTTAAAAGATCCTCGTGCTTTTAGTGGTCCGCAGCGCGATTATTACTGTTTGGCATAACTTTAAACTTCCCTTAAGCAAGATCAAGAATATATCTTACAGCGTACTTCACTTTCGTCAGCGTCACTTTCGTCATTTCATTTTCGTATACGCATTTACAAGCTACCAATACCAACATTAGTCAGTTAAATTCTTCTAAAAAATTGATAAATTAATATCAATTTATCAGTAGCCTCATGACACCCTCCGACTTGCTAAGCGTATAGTCGATTCGTTGACCAAACGGACTGGACATCGCTGCGGAGCACGCGCCGTAAGGTAAACCGCTTGCCCAGATACAATTTCACCATTGTACAAGTCGTGCTCTCGCAACATTCCAGCCGCGCCGCGCATGGCCCGCAGCGTTTGAGCACTTCGTACGGTCAACTCGACGATATGTGTGCAAGATTTGGTTCGCGTAGGTCTAAAGAGATGTGTCTTTTAATTTAGAATCTACATGCAGAGCTATTTTCAAGATCGGCATTAGATTTTAAGTTCTATATGTAAAGTGTATTTTTGATCAATCAATTGCCTTTCCATAAAAAAAGCTTACACAACAACGCCCAACTTCTCAAGTAAGATTCATTAAATAACGATCAGCTTCAAAGTCATTAGAAAGCATCGAGAAAAGGGAGGCGAGATGGTCAAATGGCAATGCGTCGCATTTGAAATTACTGATACCTTATATCGTAAGATACTTCAAATTTGCTTGATAAGCAGAGCACAATTCTACCCTGCATTAATCTTCTTGTATTTTTCTATGAGCCCAAAATACATTCATCTCAGACTTGGAACTGCGATTTCGAAGTGGAATTCAGCCAAATTCCTGAAGGATGCTCTAAGTTGGGAGATTATGATGGTGACCGGTTATTTCATCAGGACATAGTTACTATCGATTATTACGAACTTACAGTGGGGGAGGATAGCGTTCAGTTCAGTGGCGTAAGCAATGTGGAAAGATACTCAATGGTACTATCTGAAGAGTGCGGAAAATCTTGATAACGCTGGAATCTTTTAGTGTATGCACGAGAATGCAACAACCATAGGATGCGTGACAATTTCATGCCCATTTCTCTTGCCATATTTAGAGTGCAAAACTGACGCACCGTAAGCTCATCCATTATCAAGCTTATCAATATCGAAAATTTTGTTGTAATTTAAACAGCCAGTCATGACTACCAACCAAACTCTTCAGTAAAATTTCAATATCTTAAATGTCCTATTATGCACATGTATGCTATCAAGTCTAGAATAGCAATTCATCAATTCATTCAATCAACTACAACACCGCTCAATTCGCCAAAAGGTCGCTGCACTGCGGCGGAGTGCTCCGGAGTGCGCCGGAGCCGGCGTCGTCATATCTCGCTTCAGAGTGCCAATTCCCAGATCCAAGGACATCGTCCAAGCAAGACGGGTGTATAGAAGTGCCACATTGTCGGGATTCGATGCAGGCTTACGGTAGGCAGTTAGTTTCCGCCTAATTCTGCAGTGCTCAATTGAGTACTCAGTGTGCAGATAACAACCATTTTGATCGCTGCTGATGACAAATTGTAGAGATATCTGTAGGAAAGTTAAAGTCACTTTAGTCGAATTTGCCCTAAAATCAGCTAAAAGGGTATCTTTAATGCATTGATTGTGATAATCACATTTGCTCTCTAAGGCACAGTGGGTAGGGAAGTTTGCGACGTAGCGTCAATCAAGCTGCCTTCGAAACATTGCTTATGGTTGCTTCCACGTGCTCGTTCTAACCCTCAAGTCGCACTCTCGATATAGAATAAAATAGTAACATCGAAGCGCTTTGATGTACTGATCCCGAATCTACAGTAACCACACTAATTATTCGACAGAAAACGCAAAAACTGACGATCCACGTTTTTTTCGTTTTTTCTGCATAACTTCCTTCAAATTGCATAAAATACAAAACCGAAGAAAGCATGATGCTCAGCTCATCAAGATGAATCTTCTGATGTACTGCACTCTCGTACTATTCTGTTTTCAATCCGCTCGAATTTTTTGTGAGGACGGGTATTCGTAGTAGTGTAACTCAGCGAAGAACACACATGGACGATTCATGTAAACATCATTCAGTAGTGCAGTCCCCGTAGATTATCATATACTAGCGATCGGCGAAGGATTCCCTTTCCATAGGGAAAGATAGGCCGTTTAATTTTGAAAAAATCGATGTCTCTCAAATTTTCGTTACCGTAACCATACAGCAAGACGCTAGTTTGCAAAGCAGGTGTGTTTTTTGTGACCAGCAGTTAGATAACCTCTATGCGCAAGTTATCCAAGGAATTCGGAACCCTTCATTTTTTCTCGTTCAGAGAGCTGTGAAGCTCACCGAGGGTTTTGGCCAAAATATTGATGATCTTGCATTGACCGGAAACTTCGCCTATAGAGGTTTTCGGACTTGCTGATTACAGGAATAGTGCCCCCTGTGCAGCATAAGTTCTTTTGGCAGAGTTATGCTGAGAGGAATGCTGCGATACTACGCAAGTTCCTAAGTTCGTCTGTACTTTGCACGTGTCTGTTGAACAACTTACGTGCTACTTTTTGTAATTTGAAATCACTAGAGGCAGTGCTCTTAGAGCATGCTTAAACTAGGCCCTTACCTGTATTGATCGCCGAACTGTGAGCTCCTCATGAAAATCGTTCGAAATTTTAAAATCACAAATTTTGGCCAAATATCGCCGCGGATGGTTACAAATGACTCTGATTGCAGATATGTTTACACATGTAAATTGATAATTTATGCCGCACACTGCTGCTTACCCCTTGTGCCAACTCTTACACCTGTAACTCAAAGTTTGCAAAAAATCGATAAGCCGATATCGACTGATGACGAAATGTAATCTATAGACCAGCTCGGCTCCTAAGGTTGGGCTTATACTGATTCCCATGAGCGCTCATTCTTCAACCCCGCTTCGAGCTCGAAGTTCTGCTGATCAAAAAAAGGAGCGGGGTAGAGGAATAAGGCCAAAATGAGACAAATCTGGAAGAAAAACCGTTAAAAACGGTCAAAATTCTCCAACTCCCGCCGTAAACGCGTGCGGGGCGGCTGCAGCACATGCAGCACAGTTGCAGTTCCCGCACAGTTCCCAGCACAGTGCGGGAACATTGTGGGACTGTGCGGGAACAGTCCGAAATATGGGCACAAGGGGTAAGCAGCAGTGTGCGGCATAAATTATCAATTCACATGTGTAAACATAATATCTGCAATCAGAGTCATCTGTAACCATCCGCGGCGATATTTGGCCAGAATATGTGATTTTAAAATTTCGAACGATTTTCATGAGAACGTGAGTTCGTTATCTCACAGTTCGGCGATCAATACAGGTAAGGGCCTAGTTTAAGCATGCTCTAAGAGCACCCTCTAGTGATTTCAAATTACAAAAAGTAGCAGGTAAGTTATTCAACAGACACGTGCAAAGTACAGACAAACTTAGGAACTTGCGTAGTATCGCAGCATTCCTCTCAGCATAACTCTGCCAAAAGAACTTATGCTGCACAGGGGGCACTATTCCTGTAATCAGCAAGTCCGAAAACCTCTATAGGCGAAGTTTCCGGTCAATCCAAGATCATCAATATTTTAGCCAAAACCCTCGGTGAGCTTCACAGCTCTCTGAACGAGAAAAAATGAAAGGTTCCGAATTCCTTGGATAACTTGCGCATAGAGATTATCTAACTGCTGGTCACAAAAAACACACCTGCTTTGCAAACTAGCGTCTTGCTGTATGGTTACGGTAACGAAAATTTGAGAGACATCGATTTTTTCAAAATTAAACGGTCTATCTTTCCCTTTGGAAAGGGAATCCTTCGCCGATCGCTAGTATATGATAATCTACGGGGACAGCACTACTGAATCATGTTTACATGAATCGTCCATGTGTGTTCTTCGCTGAGTTACACCACCACGAATACCCGTCCTCACACAAAAATCGAGCAGATTGAAAACAGAATAGTACGAGAGTGCAGTATATCATAAGATTCATCTTGATGAGCTGAGCATCATGCTTTTTTCGGTTTTGTATTTTATGCAATTTGAAGGAAGTTATGAAGAAAAAACGAAAAAAACGCAGATCGTCAGTTTTTGCGTTTTCTGTCGGATAATTAGTGTGGTTACTGTACTTTCATTGTTTGCTAAAGGGCTCTCTAATAGAAGTTATGAGCGTTTGAATTCGCAAACAATCAGTGCCACACAAACAAGAATCAGCGATACAAAAGCACTTATTTAGATTTCAAAATAGAATTGTTGTCCTTGTAGTCAGTACACCGAACGGCATGCTCATTACATTCTTTTGAACTGGTCTTCAAAGCACAATGTGCGGATAAAAATTTCGATGACTGCACACGTTCTACCGCTCAAAGCTTCTTTCAGGGACTCGTTCAGCAGCTATGGGAGGCAGATTTGATATTATCTTACGCAGACGCATCTAACAAAATGCATTTTAATCTAGACTGCCAAGGGGTTTGATATTATCTTACGCAGACGCATCTAACAAAATGCATTTTAATCTAGACTGCCAAGGGGTCATTTCTGAGGTCATTCTCGTTAACAACAGTAGCTAATATTCATTACAACGTAATACTGTAAACTGAAACTGATGTTGTTACTGAGCGCTTGCTCTAGCTCTGCGTAATAAACATGATTTCCGTGTACAGATATTTTTGGCATAGTATTAGGTTGTCCCATAAGTCTTTTCATACCTGAATTTTCAACGACATAAATCAGTTCTTCTTGAACTCCTGACAAATTGCAGGAAACCATTCGACAGATCAAAGTAAGCTCTACAAGATGGCGTTCAAAAGTTTGCACCAAGTCCAATCCGCAACATGCTCTAAACCAAAACAAAAAATTTTCCCGAATTTCCGAAAAAACGAAAATTATCATATCTCAGTTCAAAACAGCTCTGCAAATTTCCTATTTTTTTATGCATATACTCTCCTCATCGGATATTTATAAATGCACTTGCTGCATTTTTCTGATGGCTAGAAACCAAGAAAAAAAATAATACGCTCAATTTTCAAACTTTGCCTGTATCACTTCTGTATTCCCCGCAAGTAGGTGATTACATAGATTACTCGCTCAGAATTACTGCCAAAAATTTGCAGCCTACTAGGTGCTGTAGTTCCTGAGAAAAATCGAATTGAAGGGCCGAATATGAAAAAACTTATGGGACAACCTAATATATCACAGCGCGCACTGCACTTAGAAACCTTCGATAAGCATTTTTCGATAAAGTTATGTCCACGTAACATTCTCCACAGATACTCCGGGCTCTTTTTCGAAACTAAAAGAATGAAAAGTGAATTTCAGAAATATGCAAAGTCTACAAACCGTCTATCTAATGTTAGTCTACAACAACATTTTAGAAGGCAAATTTGGGGCGTTTATTGTGTTTTGCATTCTATATTGCCTACCTGAGCTGAGGTTAGCGCTGATTTGGGGTCCTTGAAGGCAGTGTCCGGGCAAAAAGTCGATTTTGTGCATTGTGCCTACCCGGGCCTACTCGCTATGCTGAATCCGAAAATCCACACTGGAGGGCGCGAAAAGGCGAAAAGAGGCTCTAACGCTAAGGGAAATCAGAAGTGGGCGGGGTCTTTCCCCTGTGAATTCACGGTCCCAGCTTCCAGAAAGATTTTCTCGCTTCTAATTTCAAATTACGCATTCCACTTGGCTACTGGAGACGTCAGGGCGGTTAACGGAATTAAGAAAAACGCTCCGGAAGCCGGGACCATGAATTTATGTGGGGAGGGGACCCAGCCCACTTCTGATTTACCTCCTGCGTTAGAGCCATTTTCGCCGTTCGCGCTCTCCAATGTGGGTCTTCGGATTCAGCATAGCAAATAGACCCGGGTAAGTGTAAAATCTCAAAGTCGACATTCTGGCCGGACACTGCCTTTATAGTTCTGCGGAGGGATTTTCCAACACGTGTAACTCAGCTTCCTAATAGAAAGATTGACCCCTTCGCTTACAGAGATGTTTGGACCCTCTGTTGATCCTAATTGTTTTTGTACGAAAGAGTCTGAAAGTAACGTTACAGAGAGAAAGATGTAGCTGAATCAGGCTAGCTTGCAACCTACGGTTTTCGTTCATTTGTCAAAGG